GTTATCGGTGAATATAAGCAACAAGTGTCAGAAAAAAGAAACAATCAACAACGTCCTTCTCCTGTAAACCTTGTCTAACTAGCTAGGAATACCGTTTGGGGTAGTGACAGGTCCTCTGCCAATGTGTTGGATGATAAATTTCCGTGGTAATGTGAAACCAGCTTTTCAATTCCATGAGAGCAGTCATTGATGTAAAAACACTTGACTCGACATCTGAAAATACCCACCTGTATTGAAGACAGCATCATGCCGACAGCGATCGCAGTGCTGATTTCATTATAGTGGAAGAGCCGCACTTGTGCACCTCCCACAGTTTTGAAAATCTTAAAAATTGATAATTTAATTATTGGATGACCATGCAGACACGAGTGCTTATAATAGGAGAAAAGTTTCGATATCTCGTACAGCTTTTTACGAAATTATCCTACTGTATGAAATCCGCGAAGCGATGGTGTGTCTGCCTGACCGGGAAATCATAAATTCCTTCTAAATCAAACAGTCGTCAAACTTGGAAGTAGTAAAGTGAACGCGATGGGGACAGTGATGGTAGATAATAGAACCTCCTTCCCTCTTGAAGCTTCAGCGCATTTTCTTCGCCCGTGTCGCTCAATTTTCTTTCGCCCCTTTTCTCTTCCCTTTCACTTCTATGCTCATTTCTGTATATGCATTCTTCTATGCCAAATATTCACTCTAGACAGTTTTTGCTCATCTATCTCTGCAGTTCTTCGGTTTCCTCTGCCCTCTGGCCGCCTCTACTTCACTTATCAATTTCTATGTATTCTGTGCCACTGTATTGTGTATTGTGTATTTGCTCACTATCTCAGCACTATCTCTCCCTGTTTCTCCGACTATTATTCGCGCTCTATAAAAGTGATCTGTGTTGTTCTTCATTTCTATGCCCATTTGTCAATCTCCATTTCTCCTTTCCCATCTTTATCAGGTAGATTATATGCGTTCAGTGGTATTTAATGACAGTAAATGAAATCTCATAAGTATGGCCTGTACTGAACCACATAATGGCATCGACGCTACCTTACGCTATACAGCCGTAATTGTAGCTGATCGTGAGTTACTCACTGTTTACGCACGTAAGGAACCCTTAGACTTCTATTGAACATTTACTACTTTTTTTGCTAGGAGATGAGCTGCTGAGGCTTGACACTCTCATAAAAGCCAAGCTCCACACCATCGCTTCCCTCCTCCACTTCTTTCCCGAGGCCTCGTTTTTGTTGTCAATGTGGTGCGATAACAGTACCACTGCCATTTATAATTATATCAACGTGACTAAACGCCCTTCTTCTCCATTCCTCATAGTTCATCCTAGCTCATCGAGGACAACAGCTATGTCATTAGACTAGCTATTACCTCATGACAGACGACTAGCAGAACCGGAGCATCGGTGAGGTACGGTCGTCTCCATGTTTCTTGCAGCTGCGACACTCCCATCACCCATTCCGTTCCTTCGCCCATTCTTGAAAATCAATTTCAGTAATGAAATCTTAAACTCAACAAAATGATAAGTAATAAAAAGTATACTGATTGAAGTTACGAAGCTGTTCACATCATTGGTTTTTCTAGAATACATTTTCACTTCATTCTCTTTCTCCAAACAGAAAAAATGAGAATAAAATAAAGGCATAACCATTTTAGTGCATCGTTATGCACTCTGGGCCACTATCTTCGATCGAAATCCACTTTTCACGCATTCAATAACGTTATAACCTCCCACCCCGTAACGGCACATCTCCCCCTGCTTCATATTGCTCTACTCTGCGGAATACTGCTATGCCTCCCCCTAACTGCAATAGACCTCTAAATAAGTATGAAGTTAAATATTTGCTTCTAAAACATTGTAATTTGAGCAAGACTAATAAAGATGGCTAGAGCTTCGGCCAGAAAACGAGAACGCATTTTTTGACTTGTTCTGTTTGCTAATTGCTGTTTTAATGCCTCAGTTTGCTTTCTGAAATTTCAAAAGAAAGCTGGATTATGGGCAAAAATTTTCGTCGGTGTCGGGAATCGAACCACTCGCTTTTAGCACTTTGTAATTTCGCTTGTACTTTATATTTTTACTGGAACGAGAAGTGCAATTCAGTTCCAGATGGGTGAAGGGATTTGCGCATTACTCAGCATTCTTGTGAAAACAGCATATTATTTCGCCTTTGCGTATGTATGTTCAAGTAAACATTATTGGGAAACAGGAATTGTGCAGGACAAGTAAGTCTAGAAACACCCCCAAATTCCGCATCTTTATCACCATTGTGGAGCTGCGGTCAAAATTTGAAAATTCTTAAATTTTGTCTCAGATTCGCAGAGTAGACATGACACTAAACGGGAAACACTACACGGCAAGAGTATGTCAGGAACAGGCTCTGCACAGAGATAACTCAAACGCTGACCTGCTGATGTGAAATTTTGGAGAAGCTGTGGTTCAATGAAATCTTATCAAGACAACATACTCCCAGTGCGGGACCCAGTCATAGAACGTCATAGATGGGGAACGTCCAGCGCCCTGGCCACATTCTGACGAAATGTGGACACGGCCATGTAAATGTGTTTTACGTGGCTTTGAAGGCTTGTCACAACAATGCACCATTGCGCGAGCGCCCGTAAAAAGTCACCAGAAGCAAGTACTACTTTCTAGTCACTTTGTTATAATCTGAAGCATAGCTTAAACCTTGTTTCCACTTCTATTGTCTCCAAAATATGACAAGGTTTGTCTCATAATTCATATGTATCCCACAGGAAAGAATTTCAGCATCTTCCGCCTCAATCTCATAAAGAACACCACCGCAAACATTGATTGGAATGAATCATATCATCCGACCCAAACTTATGGTCAGAATATTTGAAAAACGACGTCACACATCGTAATGACGACTTATTACAATTAGCTTCGTGTCTAGCATGTGAATATGAGAAAACTCCGAACGTTTTTGGGGTTCGTGTCTAACATGTGAATTTGAAAAAAAAATCCGAACGTTTTTGACCGTCTCACTCTTACCGTCACGACTTAAACACATTTGTACGTGCTGGCTTGCCGTTTTTACTACAAGCGTTGTCGGAGCTCATCAGAAAGTGGTGGGCTGTTAGGAAGTTTCAGCAAATACAGTGAGTGAGGCAGAACTTCGTATCCCAATTCGTTCGAGTTTTGGAACGCCAGTCGTGCGACATGGGACCGCGCGTTGCTGTAAAGAGAGATCAGCCCTTCGCTTTCAACTAAGGCCAGGCTCAAAGGTGAGATTCATGATAGATTTGGTCCAACTTCTAGATCTACTACTCTGCCATAGTTGTTTCACTGAGTTTCTAGGAGCGGTC